AACCAAGATATTTTGAAGCCAAGTACCTTTTCCAGCTGGCAACGACTGCTCAGAATTACTGCCTACTGCATGCATTTCCTGTCTAATGCAAAGAACAAAGCACGAAACCAGGTTGCCAGTAACGAAGTACGCAAAGGACCTTTGGTCCCAGAAGAGATGGATCAAGCAGAGCGTTACTGGATAATGTTGGCACAGGGATCTGGAAGATTGGCAAAATCGATTTAGCGATTTGGCACCATTTGTTAAAGAAGGCGTGGTGAGAGTAGGAGGAAGGCTAAGACATGCACCCCTTAACTATGAAGAGATCCACCCCATACTTTTGCCAGTAAGCCATCCCATATCCAAGCTGATTATGCAAGAAGTACACGCTCAAGTTGTACATGGTGGACCTGAAAGAACCCTGTCAGAAAGTCGTCGCAAGCTCTGGATAACTAGTGGGCGAAACCTTGCTAAGGGTGTGGTCAGAGATTGTACAATATGCAGAAAGCTTTGCCAGCCACCACATAGTACCCTGATGGCCGATTTGCCACCCGAGAGGTTGAAACCATTTTCTCCTCCTTTCTCTGTGACTGGTGTTGATCTTTTTGGCCCCTTCAACTTGAAGACTGGACAAAACAGAACAAAGAAAACCTGGGGAGCACTGTTCATCTGTTCAACTGTTTGCGCCATTCATCAGGAGATTGTAGAAGATCTGTCCACTCAATCATTCACGCATGCCCTGCAGCATTTTAAAGCACACAATGTATGGCCACACACGATGATCTTGGACAATGGCAAGTCATTTGTTGGAACTGAGAAGGAGTTGAAGAAGCTAGTACAAAAAGGAAGAAATCGAATTGAAGAATTTTCTGTTCTCTACAAAATTCGCTGGATTTTCACCACACCCCTCAGTCCACACCAGGGTGGAATTTATGAGAGTCTTATCAAGCAAACGAACCACACCTTGAAAGCAATCGTGTGTTCTCAGTCTCTTTCCTGGAACGAAATGTCTACAATTTTCGCAGAAGTTGAATGCCTCATCAATAGTAGACCACCAGGATACCCTTCCAATGATCCCAGCGACCCACAGTCGTTGTCTCCTAACCACATTATCCTTGGTCGAGCAACAGGAACAGTCCCCCAAGGCCCGTACCAAGAAACAAGAAACCGCCGCAGACGTTTTGAATTTGTTCAAATGCTGCTTAACCATTTCTGGAAGCACTTTGTACGCGAGTATTACCCAACGTTGATGAGAAGGGCAAAATGGCAGCTCAAGACAAGACAACTTCAGGTCGGCGACATTGTCCTGCTGGTAGACTACAATGCACCAAGGGGAAAATGGGATCTCGCAAGAGTGACAGATGTATTTCCTGGGCCAGATGTTGTTGTTAGGAATGTACAAGTGAAGACCAGCAAGGGTGAATATAAGCGATCCATACAGAAGTGCTGCCGACTCATCCAGAAGGATAGTTGCACTTAAGCTTGGCCCCTGAGGATTTGTTATGAACAGTTCTACACTTGTTGCGTGATCTATGAACATGAACACAAACAGCCGGTGATTTACGAAGAATGCGTGACTTTGAACAATACATGATTATCGAAATATGCGTGATTGTTTTTTTTATGTTTCTCTGTGGTCTTAAATAGTTTAGCGATTGCGGTTTCCTGTATATGACAGCTCATGAATAGTTCGTTTTAGGACTAGAATTTTAGGTTTCGAGTTCAGTTGTGATCAGCGTCAGTATTGCGAACATCCATTGTATTCAAGCTTTAGTTCTTCCAAGTATTAGTTCTTCCAAGCCACAGAAATCCACTCTTCAGAATCTTTTAATCAACTACAATAAAGATTAAAGAAATTTCTGGCGGTTTGATACATTTGTCGCCTTCTGCACCACCCTAAAAAAAGTGTGTCTGCATTTTCCAATTCCTATCATGCAAAAACTGAATCCAATAATTGTTTTATTATGCATATTCCTGAGCTGCACTTGTTAAGACAAGAGCAAGCACAAAAACGTGATCAATGTACAGCAGTCAACTTGTAAGTAAACAACTTTATTGTTTATAAGCTTTTATAAGCTTACGACCTTTCGTGCGCTCTAAAGTATCCAGTAAGTTTTTCCAAAGCCTAAAACAAATGAACTGAGATGGAGAGTCAATATCGTAAAGAGAAAGTTCTTGAAACGCTCTCACAGAAAAGAGATTGAAAACATTGAAAATATTTTACAATTTCTTTGAAAGGGTCAAGTTTACTGTATGTTAATATTACAGTTAAAGAAATGGAAATTCTTTGTAATCTCGGAACGAGCGCTATTTATAATTACTTCTTCTTGTGAGAGGCTAAGAACAGGAGATGACTGGTGTGAATTCATGACCGATAACTCTTCACTAACCTCGCATCTTGTAGAAAGGGTTTCCAACATCTTTGTGCAAATGTCAGTTTTGCTATAGCTCCGGATGCTGGCTTCATTTTTATGTCCACTTACGGCCATAATATGCCTTGCTTCAAAACCTGACTTGTCAAGGATTGTGACAGCCGTCACCCTGATTGAATGGTTTGTATAACACTTGAAAAGTTTTGCTTTTCGTGATGTGTTTTTCATTTTCTCACCAAGTGTATGCTCTCCAACCACCATGTTGTCGTACCAAACATCCTCAGAAGCGGAGACGTTTCTCTTTGGGTGCTGAAATAAAAACTTGTTCAAGGGACTTAGGTGACTTGGATACAGCTCAAAGGAAACCACAGGACAATTTGGACCAGGTTTTTCATACTTCAAACCTCCAACATTTCTCAAATTCCAATTTGATCCTTGAATGCACGGACATTTCTGAACGAGTTCTGTGAACTCCTTGGTGCTCCGTGGGTAAACAAATTACATTTACATTACATTTACATTTACATTTTTATGGAAACCTTCGTCATCTTCCCAGCAGTTTTTTGTTAATTCATCTGTTGCTTTGCACACATAGCATGCTCCGGTGCTGTCCGTGTTGAATGAAAAATCAGTCTTCTTGAGTTGATGGAGATTTTGCCTTCCTTGGCGACAAAAGTACAGCATTACTTCAAAAAAAAAAACTTTGTTTTGAAGCTTTTCTGGATCATTCAGACCAAAGGCAGTGCTTTTGCACAATTTTTTAAGGCCTTCTTCACATATCGGTAGCTTGTGTTCAACTTTTGCCAGTCCTTGTTGCTTCAGGTCCACACACAAAACTGATCAAACTGCTGGTTAGTGTGTTAGGTGACATCACTTCTGCATGGATAAAACTATTGTCTGTAGGTATGACATCACTTCTACATATATAAAATCTATTGTCTGTAGGTATGACATAAGAGAAACAGAGCAATCAAGAATTAGCTGCCTGCGTATAGCCAATCAAAATTGAGCTGATGACACCAATGTATAATAATTTAAATTAATGAAAAACAAAATTCGCTTTGATTGTGGCTTTCAAAAGTTGATTCAGATGCTCACATTTAAGGTTACTTCCCACTTTTGCAGGTGTCCTTTGGAAAAAAATTTGTATGCGCAACTGTTTCAAAAGAAACCCAAACTATATATCAGAAGAAAGCTCAATAAATTTAGTATATGATGAAAACACAATTTAACAGCATTTTTCTTTTCAAAGTGTCAGGAGCCGGTAAGGCGTGAAACGACCAAGGGTTCTTCTATTGAATTTATTGGCTATCAGATGCCACCACACAAGCAAAATGGCTGCACAGTCTTAATCACAAGGCATCAATCAACAAAAGTGTGTAGGGCTTTTTTGATATTCTGATTGGTTGTCTAGATATCCGCATCTAAAGTTGAAGTAGCTAAAAATGTAAGAGACTTGTTGCATAAATGGAGACCACAGGAAAAATATATTAAATATCAAATTTTTCCTACGCACTTATGTTGTCATTATCCCTGAAATGTTCTGGTGAAATTTCATGAAAATCCGTCAGATCTGCATACCCAATAAATTCACGCAAAGTGGATGTGTTCCTCTTAAAATCAAATGCGAGATTTTAGCTCATAAAGGTTCGTAAACAACTCATGTCATGCCAGGAGATTATCTCGCCTTATGAAACTGCAAACCAATGGAACAACAGGACCTCCTAGGGTCAAAGGCAATGGATCAGGATTTCCTGGGGAAAGCATGGCATTGCATAATGTTTTCTATCTCGCTGTCGCATTGAAGAGAAAGACACTAAAACAGGCAAAGTAGCCAAAGGAAAAAGAACAAATGCGCAATATAAACAATACCAGATAACATGAAATACAAGCTCCAAGATGAGTGTTTGCTGCGAAAATTTCCCTTGGCAGTTTTGTGTATTTAAGCGATTATGACACCTTCCTAGTTTATTAACTGTATTTGAAAATACGTTTTTTTCTAAATAACTCGGCCACTTTTTGTGATTTTTAATATTTTTCTTTTGTAAACTTCACATAAAATGACTGACTTAAATTTTGGCAAATAAAAGAAAAAACATATTTTTTTTGCCCTTGAAGTTGAGAAGTAACATTAAAGAATATGGAAATTCCACAATTCGTGTTATTTCAAAATTCTTGTTATAGTTTGATGTCCAGATCTATAAGCTTTAATCTGATATGGGGGTTTAGGTATTTCAGTTTAAACCGATGCGCCACATCGCAAGAGACAAGACACCCCTTAATAACCTTAAAAGCATAACCTGAATGTTCCAAGCCATTTAACTAAAAGGTATATTTGATTTGACAATGCAATCGGGGAATAGTATATCCTTCCCTGTGAGACAAAATTGGATCATTTTCCTAATGATATATTGGGGACATGATAAACAATGAAACAAATATTGTACAAATTAGAACTGAAAACTTGTTTAAAATCCTAACTGGTTGAAGGCTGACCAGTTAGCTATTTACAAGACACAGAGGAGTTGATTTTGGGATCACCAAACACAAATCCATCTCGTGGCAGTGAGGATTTGAACCTGGGACGTCAGGATTACAAATCCAGGACCCTAACCACTAAGCCTTGCCTCCTTTGTTTTATTGCATCAGATTGGAGCCATCCTGTCAATTAAGTGTGGAGGAGAGATTCCAGTTGGAGTAGAGCCACACTCAGCTCATCATCTTGATTCACAGAGGTAAGACTGTAGTATACTTGTGGCATTAATTTTTTTTTTTTATTTTGATACCTAATCATACCCTTTTGGTATGCATAGGCAGCATATCAGGTGAGTTTGGCCAAGCCATAGTGTGTATTTTGGCGAGATGTAATAAAGCCAATACCAATGGAGAGACCAAACAAGCCGGATATGCTGCCGAAGCATACCAAAAGGGTACAATTATGGTAGGTATTTACTTAGCTGTGCCCAAATTCAGCCAAGTGACCATGATATCATAGCCATAATAGGTCAGTAGACATGGTGTCTTATTGGCTAATTGTGAATTTGGTTACAGTAACCCTATATAACAGTGCTCTGGCTAATTGCTGCAGCATCCAATTGTGAAGTTTGTTGTAAGTTGTTTTATGACTCTGTTGGATTGCCCGAATTATTATTCTATATGTACTTCTTACTTATTTCTTTTTCTGAAAAAATTGGCATCTTAGACAATAGTTTGAAATGTGTTAAATACTCTAACCTAAAATAATTTGGAAATTAAACAAACTTACATTACCTGTAAGTTGAAGTTTGATTGTTATTTTGTTCAGCATTGAGCACTGAGGAATTACGTGAGAGATAGCACTGCACCTGTACAAACTCAGTTTTTAAAGCTTTTGCCATGTGTGCAGTGGAGAAGCTCCCTGTCAAAAATGTGGCAGGGCCTAACATGGGAGGGCAGCTAATCCCTCAGTGCTTAGTGAAGGATAGTCTGAATTACAATTGAAATTCAACTTACAGGTAAGTCTCGTTTAATTTTCAAATTATATTCCGTCACTGCACTGAGATCTCACATGAGCATGCTGCACATATGAACAAAATAACCCAAACCGAAAAAGCATTTCTTTATAGCCAAAAATAGTTTAGTGACTTTAATTTTGTAACAAAATGTTAGTAAAGCTATCTGTGTTGATAACAGGCTTCTTATAAAACTTGGCAAATGTGTCATGAGCTCCACCCTGCAACTGATAGAATATGCTCTAATTGGACAGATTTTCTAAACACCTTAGAAACAGCCCTAGTACTCTGGGGCTTAAAAATGTTGATATCAATCCCGGATTTTTCCATGACTGTTTTGACCCAGCTACCTGCGGTGTCCCACGAAACCGCTGTAAACAGCATGGAGTAACTAACAAATAAATTATTGTTGTGCACCTCCAGGTAAGGTAGAGGTGTGATCAAGATAGGCCCTTAATGTAGAAACAACTCAAATGTGACCGTGAACGGGAAAACGTACCTTAACGCTTATCCGTTAGACGGGCAAAAGCATTAAGCATCCGTTAGTCATCCGTTAGAACGTTTCTTAAAAACGTTAGAGGCGTTAGCCCAACCGTTAGAC